AAGATAGGGACAAAAGTGTTTTTTTTCCTTGCTGTTTTTTTCTAATGCCATTTATAATGTACCATGTGATTTTTTGTTTCTTTGTATGTTCCTCCCCCATGGTATAATTCCTGTTTTCACTGTATTTGATGTTGGTACCCTGAATCTTGTATATACACTTCTCTAATTTGGGGAAGGGAAGGGAAAAAAACCAAAATGCTTAAATAGGGATACAGGTTGACCCATTGTAACATTGAGATGTACCAGACACTATGTTGAAAAGTGAACTTTACAATTTAGGTGGGGTGGAGGGTGGGGGTGGGGGGGAGTGTAGTTTGTGGAGGTGGGACGGAAGGGATGGTAGGGGAAAAACAAAGGAGGAGGTAACAATGCTCGACAGTAAATGTACTCATTACCTTGCTCATGTAACTGTATTTATAATAAAAATGGAAAAGTGTCAAGTTATTCACTATTTTATTTTTTTGCCCACTATTTTAGTAAACACTAAATAGTGCTGTATAATCCTTTTGTCTTCTATCCCTATTATTTTAATGATATTAGCAGCAGGAATTTATACTATTCTTCTGTAGCAACTCACCAGAAATGGAAATGGTCTGGGTTTCTTATTTAGCTGGATGTTTATAGAGAGCATCATCAAAGCTTCTTGAATTTAGTGAAAATTTCCAATGGAAAAGTTGATCACATCCAGATCACAATGGGATTAATATATGAATGTCAATACTTTGAGCTGCTTTTAGTATCTTTGAAATAAATATTAGACTGTGCAGGTATTTATTTGACAGACATCTGTGATCCACTAATTTGTGTCAAGAAAAGTGCTGTGTGCACACCTGAAAGGCAATCCATAACAGATGAAGGGAGGCAGTAGGGTAGAGTATAGAAACAAGAAGTCGTATGTTCAAATCCTGCCTTCCAAGGTTCCTGACTTGCTAAGGTGTTTATCCATTGCAAACTAAAATAAGTAATTTCTACTTTTCAGGGCTGTTATGCTAACAACAGTGTACGATTATGTAATGTGTAGCAGTTGGTATACAAAGGAAACCTTGAGTTACAGGATTCTGTGCTCAGGAGCCTTACTTCATTTCATTATTATTGAGATATGGTACCTGCCCTCTCAGTCTCCTCAGAGAGGCAGGGATTGTAACAGGTAATTAGAGAGTGGTGCAGAAATGACTGAAGGAACAGGCAGTGGATATAACAACATGGACCTGAATGATAAAGACTGAATGAAAACGTTGCCACACAACACTAACACAGCATAATATTAGCTACCTTTCTACTTCCAGAAGCTTCTCTTGTAACTTTGGAGTAGTGTCCTATGGAGCTTTCAGAACCTGAAAGAACAGCCTCTAAAAGAACCCAGGACTTTACCATGGTTAGGCATATTCTCCTATTAAGTTCTAATTTAATGTTTATACCATTGCAGTGTAGTGCTACTAACTATTCTGATCTTACAGATAGGCAACCCAAGGAACAGGAGGTTAAAGTTACATGCCAAGGGTCATGTCACTAAGAAACCTGGTCTTAGACCCCAGCGCTCTAATAACAGAGCCTATGTTGTAGTACAGGGGATTTATGGCTTTGTGCATGCTGTGCAAGCCACACCTCTAGCCTTTCTGTTTGCATTTCATTGTGGGAATAAGCTGTTTCTCTAAAACATTGCCTGAGGTGCCCTGCAACTTGAGTTCTTCTACCTAGCTTCCTGTGTAGTGGGGATTACAGATGTGCACCACCATGGCAGGCAGAGGCCAAGTTTATGACCACTCATTGCACTTTCTCCTATTGCTTCATTTAGAGACTGCCACTAGTTATTCTTGAGAAAATCATACAAATCAAGGAAATTAAAGGAACATCAAATAGGAAAAAAGTAATAGACTGGAATTAAAAGACAGCCCAGCCATTTCTTGTCTTTAGGTGGGAGTTAAGCTCTGCTTTCTGTTATACAATCAATTCCATTTAGGCTTCTTCCTGTAAATGTCAAGCTTTTTTTTTTAGACAGTCCTGGGGCTTGAACTCAGGGCCTGAGAACTGTCCCTGATCTTCTTTTGCTCAAGGCTAGCACTCTACCCTTTGAGCCACAGTGCTACTTCTGGCTTTTTCTGTGTATGTGGTACTGAGGAATTGAACCCAGGGCTTCACACATGTTAGGCTAGCACTCTACCACTAAGCCACCTTCCCAGCTCTATGTCAAGCTTTTTTCTTGTGAACTGAGTATTCTGTAGATTTTTTTTTAAAGCAACACTTTAAATTAGTTTTTTTCTTCTTTGGAGGAGCATAAGTTGCAATAACTCTCATTTCTTTAGCTGAGTCTGATGAAGTCCAGTGTTTCCACAAGAGGGCGCTGTCCCTCAAATTTCAATTTCTATGCACATTGGAAAAACAAAACAGAAAAATATAAAACAAAACAACAACAACAAAAACTCAAAATGGAGGTCTCAGTCTGATACAGGATCTGGGTCTACTGAAAGATCGCTTTGCTTTTATATATCTATTGGTCATGGGAAAGTTGTGAAGGAGAAAGTAAGACCTTGCTGGTTTTACAGAAAGAGAATTTGAGATTTGAGCCCCAAGAGGGGAGGGAGGGAGGAAAAGAGAAAGGAGGGAGGAAGAAAGGTCATGGGAAGGAGGGATAGAGGAAGAGAGAGGGTAATAGCTTCTGTTACCAGTTGGGAGAATCACAGGAATGAGAGCAGGATGTCTTGAACCAATGGACATATTAAGAATTCCTGTGCACTGGCCCCATTGCAAGTTTGATCTCCTGGAATGCCCCCAAACTCTTGCCTTTGGTTCCTCCTTAGTTTTGCCTTATAACACTGAGGTACTGGGACACTAAGAATTTGAATGCGCACTTCAGGGAGAGGAACAGACAGGCTGAAGAGGGTATCAGGAAGGATTCCTCAGGGTAAGGAGCAATTTTATATTAGGAGAAACCCAGCTCGTTTAGTGTCATTTTGAAATTTCTCCATTCTTTATGACCAGGTCTCTTTATTCCTTCATGTCCTCCTTGTGCTCAGTTCAGTATGTCAGCTGACCTCTGTGTTGTTCTAACTTTGAAAGTCATTTCCCTCCAAATGCTTTGACATAGAGCCTGACACATCAGGCAGCATCTGATGGCTGGCATCCTTATCATCAAGGAATAATTTGGTTTCCCTATGCCTATGTCCAATATGTACCATCTCTTCCAGCTGGCTGATTACTTTGAATTCTGTTCAATGGGATTTATTGTTCGTGTAAAAGGCATTCTATGTTGGATGGTAGTATCTATAAGGGGAAATAAAGGAGTAAATAAAAGTCAGATCTTGTCTTTAAGTAGTGTGCAATGTGAGGGGAATAAGTAGTTGTTGATGCTGCAAATAAGAATGAGATGAGTGGTAGTACTAGAATGGCTAAGTAGGGGAAGGGAGAAACAGTGCAAAAAAGAGTCATGATTAGTTTAAACTTCCCTGGTGGTACCAGGGAAGGCTTCATAGAAGAGGTGTCATTTGGGATGGGCATTTGAGGATGTGGACATGGACAGAATGATATGTGTAGGCAAGGAATAAGGAATATGTGCAGTGGATTCAAGGAGGTGCACTGAATACAACTCACAGAGCTATTTGTGATGGATTTTTTTTCTATCCATGTGATGCTCATTTTTCCTGTTTCCCTCATTTGGAGACCCCTGTCTAAAATTCTTCCCTATCCAAATCCCTTGTGTCCTTAGAGGCCCACTAGGCCTCTCCACTGGGTCTTTTCTGAGTGCTTTAGTTCATGCCCCTCCTCTCAGCTGTACTCCAGGACTCAGTAATGGAGTTATCTCTTTGGCTAAACAAGGACAAGACATGATGCTCACCTTATACTTTGAGGCCTGGTAGCCCTAACAAGGGGAGTTAATTTTGGACCTAGAAGTAGTAGTGCTGGAAGGCTCTATGGGTCAGAGCACTGAGACTGACAATTTAATTCTACCAAAATACAGCTCATTTCTGCTGACCAAGCTGGACATTTTCATGGGGATTGAGGATTTAGTTGGTTAGCTTTGCTAGCACAAAAGACAGTCTTTCTGCAAATAATCACATGATTCCAGCCGAACAGCTGGAAGTAACTCATGGGTAGGCAGTGGACTGTGAATTTGTGGGGTGTACTGGGGTGAGGGCACTTAACCTTGGCTTGAACTGAGCTGAGCCTTAGGAACTGGGATGGATTCAGTTTCACTATCTGTACTATCATGACTGAAGTTCCCCCTGGTGAATGACTCTGTTCCTTTATTGTCTGGCTGTGTTATACCCAGTCAGAAATTAAGCTGACCAGTTAGTTTTGGGGAGTGGAGATACTAAACAAAGTATCTTCTTTTTGCTGAGTCTGCTTGGAGAGACACAAAGGAAAGCTTAACCATAAGGAAAATTCTATAGTAGACAATCCTATAACAGATTCTACAGTAGAGCCACAGAAAAGTGCTCTGCAGGCTAGTCCCTACAGAGAGACCTTGTAAAAAATAAAATAAAAAGAGCAAACAGTCTGGTGCTGGTGGCTCGTGCCTGTAATTGTAGCTACTCAGGAGGCTGAGATCTGAGGATTGTAGTTCAAAGCCAGCCTAAGCAAAAAAGTCCGTGAGACTCTTATTTTCAATTAACCACCAGAAAATTGGAAGTAGAGCTGTGGCTCAAAGTGGTAGAGCACTAGCCTTGAGCAAAAGAACTCTAGGACAGCACCTAGGCTCTGAGTTCAAGCCCCATGACTGACAAAAATCAATCAATCAATCAATCAAACAAAAATCCATCTAGAGAGTGTGTCTGCATGGCTAAGCACCACAACTTACAGCCTCGCATGCAACAACATCTTCTACATTTGGGTGAATGGAGACAGTGGTGTCCTGAACAAAGGGTCTCGATCACAAGAATGAAGGAAGTGTGTCACAGACTGACACACTTCTCACCAAGCCTTTCATTCATGGAGGAGGCTGTATCCACCTCAAGGGCAGGGTATCTTTTCCTAATTAGCTCAAGGTGCTGTAGGAAGTATGATGAATGTCAGCAGAGCATCCTAGCTGATGCCTCATAGCATGGTAAAGGTGTATAGAATATTGGTCTTCTCTTTTCATAGCTGCTGGATAGAGGATCATCACTTCCAAATGTGAGTCCTTTGGCTGTGTGTACCCTCCAGAAGAAGGGTAACCTTGCTTGCCCAAGTATATTATTTAAAAAAATACTATTTTCTACAGGTACTTTGATGAGGGGGAGTTCTGAGAAGCACCCTACTGGGGAAACTTAACTTGTTACTCATCCAGAAGGGAGCCAGGCAGAAAGGTCTAGAATATCCATGTGTCTATCTGGGAACAAGCTGTGACCAGCAGCAGAGAACTGCCTACTTTGCTTACATGTTAGAATGTGGTGATTCCCAATCTCCCCATAAGAGCTGGACATGGAAGATCTATATCCAGGCTCATCTTCCACTATCAATGGTTGTATCTAATTTTCTGGAGGGAGGGCGCTGCTTGCCAGCCTAGACGACAATTTCATAGCCTGAAGTCCTGGGAGGTTTGCTCTTCTGTGTGCTGCTCTCCTCAACCTGTGCACGAAAGGAAAATGTGAGAGCACATTAATGGAAAGGTTTGGCTGGGTACTCTAGTCCTATGAGGAACTCAGGAGAGGTAAGCAAATGACCCAGGGAGATATCTTAGAGTTCTGCCATGCTGGAGAAATATAGGGTAATGGGATCTTTTTCTTTCTTTCTTTCTTTCTTTCTTTCTTTCTTTCTTTCTTTCTTTCTTTCTTTCTTTCTTTCTTTCTTTCTTTCTTTCTTTTCTTTCTCTGTCTCTCTCTCTCTCTTTCTTTCTTGGTTGTGGTGCTTGAACTCTGGGCCTGGGCGCTGTCCCTCAAGCTCTTCAGCTCAAGGCTAGCGCTCTACCACTTGAGCCACAGCGCCACTTCTGGTTTTCTGGTGGGTTATTGGAGATAAGGGTCTCAGGGACTTTCATGCCTGGGCTGGCTTTGAACTGTGATCTTCAGATCTCAGCCTCGTGAGTAGCTAGGATTACAGGTGTGAACCACTGGGGCCAGGCTTGAGATCTTTTTCTTTTCTTTTTTTGGGGGGGGGTCCGGTTGTGGGGCCTGAACTCTGGGCCTGGGCGCTGTCCCTCAGCTCTTCAGCTCAAGGCTAGCGCTCTACCACTTGAGCCACAGCACCACTTCTGGCTTTTTTTCTTTTTGCTTATGTGGTGCTGAGGAATCGAACCCAGGGCCTCATGCATGCAAGGCAAGTGCTCTACCACTGAACCACCTTCCTAGCCCAAGAGATCTTTTTCTTTACTGAGGTCTTTGCTTAGTTGGGGCTCCAGAAATCTTTTTGGAACCCCTGGAAACTTCTTAGCTCAGAACAGAGCAAGCAGCTAGGAGTGCTGGTGCTTATACCTGTAATCCTAGCTATTCAGGAGGCTGAGATTTGAGGATTGTAGTTCAAAGCCAATGAGCAAGAAAGTCCATGAGATTCTTATATCCAATTAACCTCCAGAAAACTGAAAGTGGTGTTGTGGCTCAAACTGGTAGAGAACTAGTCCTGAGCAAAGAAGCTTAGGGACAATGCCCAGGTCCCAAGTTCAAGTCCCACGACCACCACCAACAAAAAAGAGCAAGTAGTAGGAAGGAGTAGGGGTATTTGCTACCAGTCATGACTATAGGCTTGAGACAACATCCAGCCTGTATTCTTTGTTCCAAGTTGAATTCTAGTTTTTTTTTCCTCTGTTCCTCAATAATTTCACTTTGACCTATACCCAGAAATAAGTAACTGCCTCTAGTCACCATGAATGTCTCGTATGGTCTAATCATTTTGTGTCATAAATGGCCTTCCTGTGCTGATGGATGGGCCCACCAGATAGGAAAACAAGGACAAAAACCCAGAGATTTACCTTCTTGGAGTATTGCACTGTGGAGTCAATCATGTCCACTGGCCCTCCCTTAGAGGGCAACATCTGGAAAACACCCACCTTCCCTTAGTGAGAGTGAAAAGGTCAAACTTTAGAAGTTTCCCTTCCTAATTCTGCCTCTGCCTCTAGCCCTCCTTGGTTACTGTGTGGCTTCTTCTCCGGGCCTCGGCTCTGCTTCCATCCAACTTTGTAGGGAATCAACATTAAGGGTGACAGGGAATGGGTGGCCGTTGGACAGAGCTTTGGGGCAGAAAAGCCTCAGAAGCCAAGAGTCTTCCTGCTTCAGACTGAGTCTTATTCCCTAAGGACTTTTGCTTTCTGTGGGCTTTATGGATCTCCCATCTCTATGAGTCCAACCACAGTCTAGAGTGATCTAGGAAGTCGAGGAAGAAATGTCTCCCCTCTCACTCTTTTCTTTCAGTGTAAAGGTAAAGGTGAGAGACCAGCAGATAGGTAAAAGTCAGGAGGAGAAGCAGGTCTGTGATAGAAGGATTCAGAGTCTGAGGAAAACAAGCCACTGCCATTGCTTAACCAATAGTCCAAGAGAGTCTGCCTGTTGGTTCTGTGCCCTTGGAGCCAACTATGTAAGTGGCTCCAAGTGCTCATTTCATGTGAGTGGCTCCTTTCTTGTTTATCTCCTCAGAATGGTGGTTCTTAGTCACAACTCACATCTAACCCAGAGCTAGGCCTCCAAGCAGAAGCTCGTGGCCTCAAACCATGAGAGGCTACAATGGGGTGACAGTTGCCAAGCTTCTTGTCCCCATGGAGAGAGACTCCTGCTATCATTGCTCTGACTTGGTGTTACCTGGTGGGTCACTCCAGACTCTTGACTATAAATGTGTTCTAGGCAATAGCAAGCAAAAGCAATGCTTGGTCATGACTCCTTTCCTGGTTGTGATGATGGGGGGGCAGTAATATCAACTCACCTTGAACTGGGGGATTTCATCGTAGATCCTGGCCTCTGTTGGCTGGGTGTCCCCTGAAGTTGTGATGTATGCATATATTGTTTTCTTTGAGGTATCATCTGTCACAACTAAACACAGAAACAGTTTGTGAAAGTTGGGTGTGTTTTTAGAGATGATCGAGTCTTGTGTTCTGTTTTTGTGATGAAGAAATAAAGTTCCAAGAGTTAAATGGCTCCCATCCTATTGAGATGGATACTTGGATCCTCTGATGGCTTTTCCTTTCATAAAGACTGCATATGGATGGGAATTATCTAGCTCTGGTCTCACCTAGGGCTCAGAAGGAAATGCTCTTCTACTGTAGAGGTCAGCTTAGGACAAAAAGGATGGCTCCTTCTCCTTATGGGAAGTCAAAGGAAGCTCTTCCTCAGTTTCCTTTGCCCTTAGCATTGATGACCTTACATGACTAGTTTGCTTTTCATGGCAGGATCTTAGTTGTTTAATTTGACTGATTCTCTCTAATTATATGCTGTAACATTATTCTGGTTCATATGTTACTGTAGTGTCACAAACATTCTCTTTTTGTTAACAACATAAAACTTTTTAGGGTAAGTTGTAAAGAGCCAGAATTTTGGATCTTTGTATTTCAGGGCACCAACATATATTCACAAATAATGAGTCTGATCTGAGCAGTATCACAGAGCTCTAACATTTTGAAGTTTAACCACCCAGGGTTCTGAGAGGCTATGACTTTTCTTTGTGAAGACACTTGAGTTATGATGCATGCCACAAACCCCCGTCCCTTGGTACCATGCTCAGGCCTGTCAAATATAAAAACAGTAGTTAACTTTTACTGAGTACTCACTAGGTACCAGGAAGCAGGCCAAGTATCCATCTGTGCAATTCCACTTAATCCACTTAATAAGCACGTGCAGTAAGCCCTATTATAATGGATATTGTACAACTGAGAAGTGTCGGGTCTTCGTCCGTCCCACAAAAGACGGACGGGGTCCGAGGAAAGGTAAGTGCGGCGCTCGCCCGTTTCCTAGCCTCCCTCAGCCCAGGAGACAATCAGACACAGTGGGGAGCCAAATCCAGCAGGTAAAAAACTCGTTTATTAACAGAGAGCAGCCCCTTTTAAAGACAAAAAGGGTGGGTGGTATGGTAAGGGAGGAAGAGGAACCAGTCACTGTCAAGGTCACACCCTATCATTCACCTGAGCCTTCAGGGGCTGGTTAGGCACCGATGGGCAGATCAATTGGGCTCTGCCCACTCAACCCTCTCCCAGCGCCATCTTGGCTGCCCATGTGCTCTACAGTAAACTAGGCTCTGCCCACTCAACCCTCTCCCAGCACCATCTTGGCTGCCCATGTGCTCTACAGTAAACTAGGCTCTGCCCACTCAACCCCCTCCCAGCGCCATCTTTGCTGCCCATGTGCTCCACAGAGAAGACAAAAGTTTATGGTGACAAAATAACTGGCAACTGATCAATGGTCAAAGTGAGACTTCACCTACAGTGAAGTGCTCTGAAGCACATACTTAGTCTGAACCACTCTGCTGAGAACTCCCATCCCTCCCAGTTGTTTATTCAGGGAACATGCTGCCATACCAGAACTCTTAGTGAAGGCCTTCAAGTGGGAACCTGAGGAAGAAGAGACAAAGAAGAGTTAGGACACAGAAATTGTATGATGTTTGTTGTGATGGGTGGGAAAAGAGGAATTGGTCACTAGAATGATGATTTAGGAATCTAAGATTGTTTCCTCCCTCCCTCTTCTCTCTCCTTCCCTCCCTCTTTCCCTCTCTTCCCTTCCTCTCTCCCTTCTTTCTTTCCTTCTGTCTGCTCTTCCTTCCTGATGAGGTCTGAAACTACAGGATCAAGCTAGCTTCAGTCTCCTAGGATCAAATAATTCCCCTGCTTCAGTCTCTTGGGTAGCTGGGTCTGTAGAAACTCTCCACTATGCCCAGATGATTAGGCTTTCTGAATTGAGATGGACACGATTACAGCAAGATCCCGATAGAACCACAGGAATCTAGTGACAACCAGACCTATCAGTACATCTCCCTCAAGGACTCTCCAAAGGTTATTGTTAAAATACAATGAGGTTGGGAGCAACTGAACACACTAGTGTAACTAATTACAATTTGTCAGTGGCAGTGCTAAACTTGGACTTTTAAGGTAATAGTGACCCCAGGAAGAAATTTGGAAGACCAGAGTAAAATCATACAATGTTCAGGCCCATCATCCTGGTAGTTGGTAAGGTATTGGGGATTGTAGAAAGGCTGAACAAAAGGCCTTTCTACTCTACCTTAGACAAATAGCTTTATACCCTGGAAGAAAAAAATCATTTTCATATTTAATCTTCTGAGAAAATCCTACCTTGCCTTCTCTTGTACCAACGGAGCAGAAGCACTGAACTTAGAATGAAGACAGCCAGAATTAACACGGCCAGCATACTCAGCAATCCACTGTGGCGAGTTTGCAAACCCCTGGTGATGTCTGGGAACAGAAAATGCAATGAGTCTTGACTCTCAGGAAACAGGCCCAGGAGGTGGGCCAAGCTTGCCCACATTCAGGACCACCCCACCCCCCAACCTGAGTGCCAAAACTCCTAAGGAAACTACTTTCTGAGATTAAAAGTCAGGATTAAGTCAGCAAGTCCAGCAGAGGCTGCTTCCAAACACCCTGAGAGATTTGAAAGCTTTGACCTCTTTCCCAGTGGCCCTCCTGGAAGGAGATGCCCCCAGGACCAGGTTCACCAAAAAAGGAGACATACTCTGCTGGAGATAGTGCCAAAGTTTAGGCTTTGAAGCTCTTTCAAGTGGGTTTTGAGACTTCTGGGGAGAGATGGAAGAGCTGCTCACCTGCACAGAGCTGCTGGCCGGAGATAGAGTCAGAATTGTTACTGACAGGGTTCCAGGCTGTACAAGTGTAAGTCTGTTGTTTGTCTGCGGGAGTCTGAAAGACTTGAAGGACATTGCCTTCTTCTCCCAGGGGACTCCAGCTGTACGTGACATTCTTTTGTCCTTTCTCTACAGAGCATATCAGGGTGACGTTACAGGTATTATTTATAGATGTCATTAAACTCTGTGTAATTTTTGGTTTCCCAAGCCGACCTAAGAGAGGAAAACACAGGAGGCCCTGGTGAGCTGGTTTGACTCATCGCAGCTTGTGAGGACCAAGTGTTAAATTAGTAGAAATTTAGAACTAGATAGTTGTTAAATGCAGGTACCATTAAAGTTAATTTGTCAAAATTCACAGCCAAATAAATTATATCAAAAACAAAGAACAAGAGCTGGAAGCATGGCTCAATTAGTAGAGCATCTGCTTAGCACCTGTAAAGCCCACCCAACAGACAGGATAAAAATAACTTTGTAGGGGCTGGGAAGGTGGCTCAGAGCACTTGCCTTGCATGCCTGAGGCCCTGGGTTCGATTCCCCAGCACCACATAAGCAAAAAGAAAAAAAAAAGCCAGAAGTGGCGCTGTGGCTCAAGTGGTAGAGTGCTAGCCTTGAGCTGAAGAGCTGAGGGACAGCGCCCAGGCCCAGAGTTCAGGCCCCACGACCGGACCCCCCAAAAAAATAACTTTGTATTAGTTACTATAGAGTCTGATATTAAAATTAAATAAGATATCACTACTCACCGTCCAAAATGACACACACAAAAAACCTCTTCACTGGTAAATGACTCCCTCACTAGAAAATGGAGGGGAGTTGACCTCAATTTTAATGTCCCTCATTGTTGCAATTGGGACAATAGCTTCCATTAGGTATTGTGATACTCATTCATACAGATACTAATTCATAGATTCATAGAGATCACTCTATCCAAACTTGCATATTATACTAATTGTTAAGTCCGGCTGACATAGTCAAATAATGTTAGAAGAGTTTGAAGAAAAGCATAGTTTTTGTGAGAAAAGCTGTCTTTTCTATGAAAGTGGGTCACCTAAAAGTTCTTGCTTTGGCCTGGTGGCTTGGCGTTTGTTGATTATGTTGCTAAGACAATAGCAGCCAGTAAAGAAAGGAAAAGAGGAAATGCTTTGGGATAAAGAAGTACCTTTGATATAAGGTTTTGACTTAACTGATTGTCCCAGAATAGAAGAGGAACTAAGACGAATCACTATTTCTACAAGAAAATAGTAGAGGATATGTGTATGTTTTGAGGTTTCTTGTGTACTATTAATCTTATCTCAATCTTTTTTTTTTTTTTTTTTTGTCAGTCATGGGCCTGGGTGCTATCCCTGTGCTCTTCAGGTCAAGGCGAGTGCTCTACTGCTTGAGCCACAGCATCACTTCAGGTTTTCTAGTAGTTTATTAGAAATAAGAGTCTCACAGACTTTCCTGCCTGGGCTGGCTTTGAACCTTGATCCTCAGATCTCAGCCTCCAGAGTAGCTAGGATTATAGCTGGGAGCTACCGGTGAGCCTTATCTCAGTCTTTTAATGCTCATTTTATGTAAATATATATTACCCTCTTCAAACTAGCCAATTGTGAGCAGATTGTGAACCTGAGCATGGCCAATTTAAACAGAGAGGCAGGGCTTGCTGTGTTGGGGATAAATTAGGAGCAGCCTGCTTGCTCTATGTTCTAGCTTGCCAGATTTTTGGCTGATGGTGCATTCTTCTGCAGAAGTAAACTTTGCCTTGCACAGAAAAAAGAAATCCTCACCAAATACCAGTGAAGATACAGAGACACTGTTCACTCATATATCCCTGGTGGGAATGTAAAATGTAAAATAGTCTGACAGTTTCTTTTCAAACCAGAAATAGATTTGCCATCTGATTTCATTTTGGGACATTTAGAGAAATGATAATGTATCTTATGCAGGAACTTGTACATGAACTAGAAACAACTGAAATGTCTTTCAATAGAAGAATGGTTAAATGAACTAGTACATTTGTACCATGGACTATTATCCAAGAATTAAAAGTATATAACTAATGATACATGTTATAGTTTGGATGAGTCTCAAAGAAATTATGCTAAGTGAAAAATCCCAATCTTTAAAGGATATATACATGTGGTATAATTCTATCGATGTGACATTTATGAAGTAATATAATTATAGACAGGAACAGATTAGTAACTTGTAGGGTTGGCCAGGGTGAGGGAGTACTTAGCTTTGAAGAGATAACATATGGGAATCTAGGGATGTGATAGTTTTCTTGATTGTGGTAGAGTTCACATGTGATGAAATTCCACAATACTGCATGCATGCTTACACACAGAAATGAGTTCAGGCATAGCTGGTGAATTCTAAATAAATTGTAGAAATTGTGTCAGTGTCTATTTCCTGTTTTTGAGACAGCATGCAGAGCTACAGTTATGTAAGGTGGTAGGTAGCACAGAGGGCACACAGAGCCAAGCTGTGCATTTCTTTGCACCTTCCTATGTATCTGTTATTATTTCAAAATAGAAAATTCTTTAAAAAATTACATTGTGATTGCTGTCTCTCTGGATTGTTCCTGAGTAGTATGCTGGTAGATGATTTTTAAAAAAGAAAAACAAGGGCATAGGTGAGGCTGAGACAGACGAGGAAGAATGAAGGAAGGGGTGACAATGGTCAAGAGACATTGTACTCTGTAAACTGACATGTTGAATTGAAACTCCTTTGTACAATACTTAAAGATATTTTCACAAAAAGAAAGAAAAGATAAAACAATGTTCAGAGGACAAAGTGCTGATAAAAAATAGCATGGCTAAAATCTTACAAGCTAATGACTATAATTACATACATCTTTAAAGTATGGATGTATTTATACAATTATAACTATAAAGAGGCTTAGGAAACCCAGTTGTCAGAAATACAGGGGTTCTTTAGATATTAACTTCAAAGCAAAGGTAAGAACCAAGTCCTTTCTCCTCCCACGCCTTACGGTATACTTGCAGGTGGTAGAGCCGGGTGGTGGTGTCTTTCTCTGTGCTTATGTCTGCTTTGTACTCTCCTGCATCTTCCATCTTCAGATCATTAATAACCAGGTCATAGTTCTGAGCTATGACTTCTATTCGGTTATAATAATTTTTGGGGTCACTGTAACCATAAGTGTTTTTCCTGAGCCTTCTGGTTTTATGAAAGCAACAGATGTTTTAGAAGCCCAAACAATGCTCGTCAATTGCTGCAATTCTTGGATATTTAAGGGGAAAGTAACTGATTCTTCAAGAATCCCATTCACCATGTGCACATCCGTGTCTCTTCCAGCTGCTTCTGGCCCTGAGAACATAAATAGAAAACTGTAACCATCTGACTGTCCCACCATTTAGAGTTCCTTGTTTTCTGCATCTGTCTCTCTGGGCAGCTCATCCAGTTTCTTGAGGATTTTTTTTCCTCTTCATTCTCTTCTCGGTATATTTAGTATTTTATGATAATGAAATTTTTCTAAAGGATTCTCATTCAAAAACTGAATATCTCAATGAGTTTCTAGGGATCCATATCATTAAAGCATGATTATCGAGGTGTACAGATTCTGAAAGCCAGAAGCATGTGAGAGATGAAGACTATGAAGTACAAAATAGCTAGCATGTTTCCCTTTGCCAAGATCCCACTGCCAAGTGGTTGAAGAGTTTGAGAAAAGAGATCTGAACATTTAGACTGCTGGACTCTGATGGGTACTGGCTGCATGTAGGTCCTGAAGGCCTGAATACATTTTCTACATAAGAAGTGCTTACAGTCTCTGGGGCGGGGGTGGGGGAGTCTGGTCGTGGGGCCTGAACACTGGGCCTGCGCACTGTCCCTCAGCTCTTCAGCTCAAGGCTAGCGCTCTACCACTTGAGCCAGAGTGCCACTTCCAGATTTTTTTTTCTTTTTGCTTATGTGGTGCTGAGGAATCGAACTCAGGACCTCATGCATGCAAGACAAGCGCTCTACCACTGAGCCACCTTCCCAGCCCGGTGCTTACAGACTCTGATGATTACACCAGGGCTTGGCATACAGAAAGCAAGAAAAACACTGCGAATACACATCATCTTAAAGTGCCAAAACTAATTAAGGGATTGTTTTTAACCTAATGTTATTGTCTTCCTATGCCTACCTTCACTTACACTTCAGCTCAGTAACTCTTGCAGGAAACCCAGAACTGCTTTTTTTCCCTCAAGAAATATGCCAGAAGCAGACAAGCGAAGAAGATGTCACAGACCTCTAAGGGGGAAAGGAAGGATTTAGAGAAAGTAGAAACACCTATCTATAAACACTTATGAAATGCTAAGTATACTTCAGATGTGTCATATGACATAATTTCAGTCCCCAAGGAGCTTACAGCTCAGGAAACAAGACAGATATGTATACAAAAAATAATGTGTCAAGCCGGGCGCTGGTGGCTCACGCCTGTAATCCTAGCTACTCAGGAGGCTGAGATCTGAGGATCGTGGTTCAAAGCCAGTCTGGGCAGGAGAGACTGTGAGACTCCTATCTCCAGTAAACCACCAGAAAACCTGAAGTGGCACTGTAGCTCAAGTGGTAGAGCGCTTGTCTTGAGCTGAAGAGCTGAAGGACAGCGCCCAGGCCCAGAGTTCAAGCCCTACAACCGACAAAAATAAATAAATAAATAATGTGTCAATATAATTGTTGAGCAACAATGGAAAATGCAATTGGAGGAAACAGAGTACTAGGCTAGGTGCTGCCATTGGTGATAGCAATCATATGTTGTAAAATCCTTAAAGATTAATTGCCCCCAGATAAACCATTCTACTGGAACTGCTGAGGTTTGACAGAGGGCCCTTGAATCCCTGGTGTCCCAGTTGTGAATTGCACAGAGCTGTGCAATTGTACAAAGCCTTAGCTCAGAAGGAACCTGAACTTGATCTATAGCTACTATTCCACCTCAAAACTCATCATACTATTTGAAGAAAGCAGATCACATTAATGCTTTGCAGAGTCCTGAAATTGTTAAGGTATTTCTGACATTAGTCCCTAGTGCCTAATAGTTAGTTTGCTGTTTGGATGTGGGTTAGAGATAAGAAGATGAACAGGGCATAGGACTTGTAATTCTGGTAGATGCTCTTGTCACATCTTGGTTTGATAAGGCTGAGAGCTTCTTAGGGTGAGGTCATGGTGAAGGACAAGTGGCCGGCATGTGGTGGTTTTAAAAGTATCTCATGTCCCATTAGTGCGGCTGTGCTACCAGAGGGCGAACAGGAAGTGGGGGTGATGGGAAGCACAGCTGAGGAAGTCCTGCGGCTTTTTGCATTGCTGGTATTGTTGAGTAGACTTCTAAGCTTGCTGAGAAAAGGCAAAAGGTTTGCATGAGATATTCTGCCACTTGTAAACTCTCCCAACTCTTGTTGTCTGAGTGAGGCAGCTGCAAACCATAGCATGGACTGGAACGATAGGGGTGCCTGGGCATCTGCTTACAAACTGAGCAACCTCACTAAAGCCATAAAAACTTTCTGAGGTTTTAATAACTATAATCTACTTAGTGGCTAGCAAATGACGTGATATGAGTAGAAGTGCTTTGTTAGTGATCAAATAAAAGTCACAGTTCTTTTGGGAGTTAATAATTAATTGGTATATGTCCTTTACCGTTTCTATTGGTTGTGCCTGTGGTACCTTCGGTAATGCCAGGACCACATCAGAGTCATTTTTAAGCCATTTTTAATGGGCTGATTCAAACAAGTCGGGTTTCAGGTACATTTGGTTGTTGTGGTTCGCAATAAAACACTGGGTTTTGAACTTAGGGCATCGTGATTGTCCAGCAGGCACTCTGCCACTTGAGTCATGCACCCAGGCTCTTCTTTACTCCAGTTACTTTTTCAACTGAGTCTCATGTTTTGTTAGGGGCCAGCCTTCATCAGACCACAGTCTTCCTAGCTATGGCTTCCTTTGAAGGAGAATCACAAGTGTATGCCACCTTGCTTAGTTTATTTGTTGAGATGCAGTCTTGCTAACTTTTTGCCTAGGCTGTCCTCAAATTCCTGTTTTTCTGATCTTCCCCTCCACCTGAATTGCTGGGCTTATAGGCATGAATCACTATGCTTGGCCTTTAGGTAATATTTGTGGACTTTGTTCTGATCTTAAAACACTTCAGGTTTAAAAGTAAAGAATCTATTATCAATCAACTCCAATATTTATTTTTCCTGTGTGCTAAAGGGACTCAACAATTATATTTCACTGGAAGAAACCTTAGAAGAATTCAACTTCAAAGACAACTGTGGCATAAAATGTCTTGAGAGGGGGCTGAGGGTGAAATACATATGCTTATCCATGTACAAGACCCTGGAGTAGATTCCCAGCATGTGTGTATGTACGTACACTCACACTCACACACACACACAAGTGTCTTGAGGATTTATCATGAATTGTACTATACTAGTCATGTCTTTTGGGGATAATTTAAAACCTGGTTAGGTATTACATGTGCATATGACTTTGATAAATTAAAAAGAATAGTATAGATAGCAGTTCAGTAAGAATTCAAAGAAGTGAGAAATCATATGAGTTGTAGTGGTTAAAGAAAACTTGGAAAGAATAGAATTTGAGAATAATCTTGAAATAGATTTTTACTAGATAAAAAGGTACTCAGGTTCTAAATGAAAGCTAGAATGGAAATTTTGGCATCCAATTGGTTGGGTATAGATTTGTAAAACAGAGTAATGAAAGGTAAAGTTAGAAACACTAGATTTAGATTTGTAACAGCTTCAAATTTGAGGTGTAGCCCATAAACTGAGTAGATTTTTTTTTAAAAACGATTTAATTTTATTTTGTGGTAAAGGTTATGTACAGAGGGGTTACAGTTACATAAGCAAGGTAATGAGTACATTTCTTATTGAACATTGTTACCCCTTCCCTTGGATTTCTCCCACTATGTCTCCCCCTGCTGAGGAGGTTTTTAAGGATCAAGATTAAAATAATGTCTTAGTATCATTATACTCTAGTGATGATGTATAGGAAGAATAAGAGGACAGAGAAGAAGAGCTGGAGAGTGAAGTTAGAAGGCTACTGTGCCCATCTGGGCATAGAGCAGGCAGAGATAATGGGATAGAAAGGAAGGGCTAGGTTTGAAGATAGGGAAAATAAGCAGGCAAGAAATAATTCTATTAGTTTGGTTTAGCTTTCCCAACAAAATATCTTGATGTTCTATTTTGTGTCAGGGAATAACTAATAGTAAAAAATGGGTAACATTTATGGTGGAATGGAGCCAAAGGGGAAAGACAAACTTGGTGTTAGAAATATTGAACTTGAGATGGCAGTAGGCTATCCAAGCAAGCAGCTGGGAACAGATGTTAAGGAGAGAAGATGTACTTCATGTATTGCTGGAGCAGGGGAAAGCTACAGGAGAGTTTGCTTGCTGTTTCCCAGTGTTGGTTCTCTCCTTCATTTTAGGGATTACCACCCACAATAAAGACTACATTGCTCTGCTTTCTGCTAGCTAAGCGTGATCATATCATTACATAAAGTTATCATTCTTTCTTTCTTCCTTAAAGAGAAGTTGCTTTCTTCATTTTCCCCTTATTTCTTTTTTATCTGTTTTTGGTCGTGGGGCTTGAACTCTGAGCCTGGGCACTGTGCCTGAGTTCTTCAGTTCAAGGATAGCGCTCTACCACTTGAGCCACAGTGCCACTTCCAATTTTCTGGTGGTTAATTGAAGGTAAGAGTCTCATGGACTTTCCAGTCCAGGCTGGCTTTGAACCACGATCCTCAGATCTCAGCCGCCTGAGTAGCTAGGATTATAGGCACCCAGCTTCTCCCTTATTTCTTTTAGGCTGGAATGCTGTGACAGATGGATCCCAGGCAGATGGTAGGGATCAAAAGGAGAAAATCAAGAACTGAGGTTGGTGGAGCAGACAAACAGAGGAAGTCTGGGTTCTTGATGACCTTGTGAACTAGTCTACCGACTGGGAGCAGCCAACTCTGGACTTTACACATGAGCCAGAAATAATCTTCCTTCTTCCTTAAGCTATTCTCATCTCCTTGGCTTTATTACTTATTGTCAAACTGAAACTCAAATGCTTTAGGAATCATCCACAGACAAAAACTTAAACAGAGGAGAGATTTTTCAGGAAGAATAAGACTGAAGTCCAAGACGGAACCTTGTGAACAGCCCTCACATTGATTAAAAAAAAAAAAACAATAGATCAAGTGCTGAGTCACACTTTCTGGTAGACAATACCAAGGAACCCAAAAGAGTCTCAAGATAGGGGACCGCCACTGATTTCTAACGACTGGATATGTTCAGGTTGGATGCAAACATAAAATGTTTCCTGTATTTGTGTCATAGG